TATCATCATTTTAGACATATTATTATTACAATTTATTTATATTTGTTGAATAATTTAAAATTAATGAATTAAAAAAAAATAAAAGAAGTTGCTATTAATTTTAAATTAATCTAACAATAACCAAATAAGTTGTAAAAATAATAAGTCTAAAACAATAATAAATATACTATTCATATTTTATATTAATAATAATGAAACAAAATTAAAATCACAAATTATTGGTGTAATAAATAGTAATGTTAGTCATAACAATGATAACTAATAGTAATTTCAAATTACTTTTTAAATAATCTTTTGATAAAAAAATAAGTAAAATACTAATAAGCTAAACATTTTTATAACAGACTAATAAATTATATTTTAAAAATATGAAGGAATGAGGCATCGAATCAAAAGTTAAAATTGAATTTAAAATAAAAAAGAACTCTTTCATTTTAATTTTTTTTCTTGTGTTTGATTTGGCTCATATTCATTTCTCATTTGTGATTTTAGACGATGCATTTCCATTTTGATGCTAAAAACGTAGTGAGGTAAAATGCGTCCCGTCGTGGTGAATGTCTATAAATACCATCAGTCTCTCACTCTCACTTCATTCTCGCTCCTCTCTTTCTTCTTCCGCAAGCTTTTCCCCTTCCTTCTTCTATTTTCTCTTCTACCAAACACATTTTCCCGAGAAAGTTCCTCGCAAGGAAAATGTCTTGTTTGCCTCCACCACCTCCACCTCTGCTTCATCCACCTGATGCTATTCCTATTCTTGTTAATTTTGCTATTGTAGTTGTTATTCTTCTTTTTGGCAAAAATCAAGGATAATATACACTTGCCTACTCTCTTAGGCGAGTTCTTAGTGCCAAGATTTCGATCTTTAGGTTTAGGACTTTTTTCTTGATACGTTTAACTGCACTCTTGCAAAATACGGTCCAAGTTTTGTTGCTTCAAGAACACTAGGTTCTTGGAAAGATTCTAACATTTTCAGTCAATACTCATTGACCGAGGTTTTTCCCGAGAAAATGAGCCAGGAAATTGAAGCCGCGACAGTCTTGGCACCGTCTTCTTCTGACGTTGACATCCAAGATCCTAATAAGTAAACATTGAAAAATGATTATTATATTATTATTTTCTTGATCTGTACGAATCAATTATTTTATTGTTATTACGATGAATATTTCGTTCTGTTTGGCGTCTGAGAAACTACACAATCATATTATAAGACGCTTAATTTTTTTTCCCTAATTGTAACTGAAAATCGTTTGAACTCGGTTGAATTTCTTGCAAATTTTTTCTTAACAACTAAGTAACGCATTATGTCAAAGTAAATCAAGATCTTTCTGATTTTGTATTGCAGACGGTCAAAAATTTCATATACAAGAGAGTTTCTTCTCTCTCGAGCCAAAGCGGACGGTACAGTAAAATTACCCAGGGAGGTTCAGCTCTCAATTCCATTGTAAAAAAAAAACCTCTTATACATTGTGTTTTTAGAAGATTAAGTATTACTCTGCTGCTTTACGTAGGTTTCTTTAATTTGAGCCTGTTTGTTGAACAGTGTGTTTCACGATGCATCCGGCCTTCTATCGCCACCTTTTTGTGTTCCAGGTGTGTAATATTTGGCTTTCTACTTCTATTGAAGAATCGCCAATCTGATTACTTGCCAATCTTCTTGTCATTAATGTATATTATGATTTTTTTTTTTTTTTTTGATAACATAATGTATATTATGATTTATCATTACATACTGTGGTTTTGTTTGACAAAATTATGTTTAAAAAATTTATGCTTTGACACAGATTCTAAATGTCACAAAAGTGTGCCTCAAATTTCTTCTCTGAAGGTTCCGGATAATCGTCTACTGCATAGGAGTAATGAACCATATCGGCCTCCATGTCGCTACAAGGTCTGGTTTGAGCTTTAATGTGGAAACTTAAGAACAGATTATCTACAAATATAGTTTTGATAAAGTAAGGAGGATTTAGGTGTAGAACCATTTAATTATGCTCTCTATTAGGGGTTAATAATATCTTGTTCTTTCAGGCACTACTTCCTTCAACTAGAGACAACAATGTCTTGCTTAACAGTGACACATCTGGATCTTCTGAGTGTACAAATCTAGAGAAAGCAGAACGGGAAAGGTGGAAAAAAGGTCAAATCTATTTTCATGTGATTCTTCATTGTCTTCTTAGGTTGTCAAACTGTCATCGATAAGGTTATTATATCATTTTTCCTATTATCAACATGAGTTGTCAACTCTGTTCAGGTTTATATAGTTGATAAGAAAGAAACCACTGAACATTGTTAAATGTAATCATATGCAGATACAGTCAGAGTGGCCAAGGAGGACAAGTGGCATTCTAACAAAAACACTGATTCCAAGGATTCTTCAGAGGAATTTCTGTTGTCACCAGCAACACAAAATTCGAATACCCTGCAGTTTACTTCAAATGTAATCAATAAGCAATTAGATGCTTCTTGTGAACCAAGTCTGATTCATGGAGCTGTAAGAGGTGATGCTGTTCAACCATCCATCCTGTCAGAGACTACTAAAAATTGTTCTGCCCAATGCCAGCGAGTGCAAGATTTAACTACTAATGAAACTGGGATTCCGTGGCAGGAGTCTGTAAACCATATAGATACATCTTCGCGTGTTCTCTCAATGTTGGATAATGGGATGCACCTTATGGAGTCAGAAGAATATTCGAACTTTGATGTGGGACATCCAGAAGGAACTACCCATGATATGGAATACCTAAAGAAAAGCATACCACCAAGCTTCTTAAGCCAAGAGAAATGTGGAAATCTCAAGAAGAATCATTGTGAAGTGGTATATGAACCAGGTATCATGGAGTTGCAATTAAGTAATACCTCAGTTTGTTTCCATGATTCTCCAGGAAGAATTGAAATAAGCGATCTCTCGGAGGCTCATGTCTCTCCTCCTCCTGTAGAAGAGGAAAAACAATTCATTTCAATGGTTGATAAGTGTGAATCAGCTACGGTACATTGTGAAGGCATCTTGTCTTTTCAAGGTTTCAAGCAAGCCATTTCAGTTAGCATGAAGCCAAATCCATCCATCCCTGGTTTCCAAATTCAACAGGAGCTGGAATTAAATTCTTTCAGCAGCAGCTTAGATGGAAAATCAAGTTCTAGGTTTGAACTTTGTTTGCCTGACGAGGACAGTCTAATTACATTTGATGAATCATTCTTGATGCCTGACGTGGAAAATGCGGTTGTGGATGATAATTCCGCATCTAACCCTGAAAGGAATCCAATTAAAGCTGACGTGTTCAGTCCAAGCTCACCTCGTGATATGATTGAGAAGCTAGTGGAATCTATACTCAATGATGAAAGTTATCCTGCACCATATCTGGATGATCCTATAGTGCAGCATGGATCTAGATTGGAGGGTTTTTGCCACTCTATGCATGCATGGCAATCTTCCACACCGTTCTGTTCCAATCAGTTGAATCCAAGAAGGGATCAACAAGATCATAATAGTTCTCAAAGAAACTCCATTGATTCAACCATATATTCTTTGTTTTCCCACTCTTACCCATACAACACAATTTCTCAACCTTGGCCGCTTTCTCATGATGAGCTGAGAAGGTTTGATCATGAAGTTAATCAATCATCGTTCCAGCAGATGATAAGTCCAGGAAACCTTCATCTTTGCTCATTATGTGTATCACAAAGTGGAGTGCGACCACATCTGCCTGCAGTCCAGATGACTAATTGCACACAGAAGCTAAATTCACTGCAGGGTTATTCTACCTTAGGGTATCAGGAACCAAAGTATAGGGGTTTTATAAGGCCAAATCCAGGTAAGGAATCACTTGCATATTGTTCTTTGTACGAGCCATGTAGAAAATGAAAGTTAAATGGTGTTTTAGTTACTGATTTTATTCCACACATGGTTAGACTTTCACGGTGATAGCGACATCAATCAAGCAGTAGCTGATAGTCTCGTTGACATGGAACTGCGATCAAGGCACTGGCACCCTTATGTAGGAGGTTTCTGGTAGCAGACAGTCGACCACGACCAGCAATAATTGAGATGGAGATGAATATCGGTATGAACAATGGAAAAAAGAATTTTTCATATTTTGTAGTGAAATAGTCACAAGCTGTGTAAATAGACCTCTCCTAGTTAACATCAGAATCTGTTATAGCTGGTCGATTAAGTACATGGAAATTTCAGAGTGTTAAATACTATAAGACACAGGGAAGGCTAATAGTAATAGTTCAGAGAGGATATGGTACAGGAGTTAATACAGTAACTTTTTTGAAGTCATATATGATCTCTTCAAACGTTATTGCGATGTTGAGTGCGTTTCTTCAAGTGGTATTATAGATTTGGTTGTCTTCCCTTGTTATTAGATAACTTGCAAGCTAATTTTCCTTCAAATTATATTTTTCTTTACTTGACAAGCTGACGATCTAGTCATTTTCAAATTTCTATCGGATTTGTCTGCATACTAAATTAATTCTTTCACCAAATCGACCTGCGCCTTAAAAGGAATTGTTCGGCCAGGATACAGTTTGTTGTCAATATAACTCAAACTTACGTAATTATTGGATTACTAATTACTGGATTACAAAGTATCCATTGGTGGGAATTCAAATTTGATCTCCTTCCTTACTTCACAAGCAGCAGCTAATTCAGGACAAACCTAATTACTTGACAAGTGAGAGCTCAACCAGAGTGTCAAGTGTCTTTAATCATAAAAATGTTCTAATTGAGAGACATGCAAGAAAGACTTCCTCTCGTCCGCTATGTGCTTGCATTGAAACTGCTTTTACGTATCAGAGGTTAAACATAGCTTTCCATTCCCAGGTGTGAATAGCGCTTGTCATGTGAGCCAAACATCTCAATTGGGTTCTTATCACACATGTTGATATACCAGCGCTCAAAATTTTTATAAATGTTAAGAAGTGTTTTACAGGGAACTGCCTCGATTTCCATATATTAGACGTTTGGCTGAATCTAGATCATAAATATCGGGTACTGTACATACCTATGCAAAACTATGAAACCTATACATTCCTGCATCATTATTTTCTTTTATAATATGTTAATGAATATATACACGACCAAATTGAATTAAGGGAATTAAAAGCCTTGTTTTGCTCAGATAACGAGCAACAGCAATTACTAACCAGAGTATCTTCATAAGGTTGTGACTGGAAACTCTCAGCTTGTTGCGATGCGCATCTTATTTCCTCATCTTGCAAAATCCCATCCCTAACTGCATTCAATAGCTGCAAAACAAAACCCTTTTCTGCATATACCCCATCTAAGTTGCACTCTTCAACTGCTCATCATACATTGGTCGATCTGCATTGATATAGTTATCTGTCTTGGGTTCCACCTCATATGACGCAAGCAGTCTTCTCTGCATATATTACACAACATGCACATGTATAAAGTTCATTATCGTTCCTTCTTTCCTTGAACACATGCAATTTGATGTCAACTTTAGGCATTCGGGTTTCTATGAAGATGAAAATTCCAATCTGTATATGATGCTTTTGTGGGAGCATGATACAAGATGGACAGTTTCCAAAAGATAAGGAACATCTAGGGACCTTCTCAAGCTAAGAATCCTCAAAAAAGTAATGAAAGAAAAACACAAACATAGATGTCGCCTTAAAACAGGGGGTGAGGCTCGAGCAGTAAGTAAGGTGCACTCATAATTATATATTATAGTAATACAAAGATCAGTGACATGAATACTTACATGATCCTCAAAATCTGGGCTTGTTAAATTGATAGAAAGGTTTCTCATCAACAGTAGCACCTAAATACACCCAAGGTCATAGAAAGAATAAAAGTGTAAGTAATTCTGAAGCATAAATTCAATTATACAGTTGTACTAGTCAACAAAATTTAACACAAAGTCAGGTTTCAAAGCCAGAAATAAAGCTTCAATGCCTTAACTCCACTTAAGGAGTAGCAATTGATTGCTAGAAGCAAATTAAAATAATAATTGGACTGTCAAAAGTAATCACAAAACAATATAGCTGAGTAGAATAGCAAAGATTCATTGGGTGAAAAGAAAACACACACACACACACATACCGTCTCAACATCTATAGGGTCCATACTTCTTAGTTTCTGTAGATGTCCAGTTACATTTGGGTCAAATACACTGCCAATGAAGCTGTATACTTGAGTAAAATCTGGAAGAACTGCATTAAAAATGAGAAAAAACATTAAATTGACATTAAAAACATTGATACAACAATAAATACCAAAATGACAACCAATATCATAAGCGAAACTTCATTCAACATCAACATCACCTTTATCCAAAATTAGTTGGGATAAAGGTGATGTTACGTAAGAATAAAGGAGGACTGCATCACACATAGCGAGTCGGTTGTAAAAAAGAGCTATTTATATGATATGAACACATAATAGTGAATCTTCCTTGTAAAAAAGAATAATTATTAAGGAATTTGTGCGCATAAATTTTCAAATGGAAGTCTGTGTGTCAAAGTTGGACCGTGGAGTTTGTAGAACTCCTAAGGGGATAAGACAGCTTTCTGGATATATATAACCATTGGATGAAATGAGTCACAAAACAAGAAAAACACGACAGACTATCACTTCCACATGGTGAGTAAACATGAAAATGACAGCATGTTCCAGATACAGGATTGCATCAAATTTAATAAATCAAAGGTACCATTGAGTAAATATCAGAAATATAGAAAATTATTCAACATTATTTGAAGAGTGCCACTAAATTCAGATAAAAGGTAAAACTTACAAATTATTCAGCAGTTAAAGCACAGTTGAAATGAACATTTTGGTGACTTAGACACTGGTAGATCAAGATTCAAGTCCAAGAAGGTGATTGGAAACAAAGAAAATCCAAAATTACTTCGGACCCCACATAATTCTTTTCTTTGGTTATTAAACTGGAAAAAGCAACAAATACATGCTGAAATATACAGCGTATCCTATGCACACAGATTATGCTTATAACAATACTCCACAACCTTATCATGTATACATTAATGTGATGAAGCAATCAAAGAGGGCAAAATTGAAATTAGAAAGGAATTTCATTAAACCCTTGCCTCTAAAAGGATGGCTATTATTCCTTTGACCATTAGATTCACCAACCAGCCGTGCTCTAGGAGTGCTTTCACTGCTACTGCAACAATTATTCACATTTTGCCCTAAAACACATAGGATATTGTAAACACAAGAAACCGGTTGGTATGTTCAGCAAATTATGCAAATAATTTCCATAAACAATATTCCAAGATTATATAATCTAAAATTTGAAGTATAGAAAGTTGCAGCCTTTAGTACCTTTCAATACATTGGCAGTTTTCTGCAAGGTGTTGTTTGACCAGGAAGACACTGAAGTGTTAATAATAGGAGTTTTAAGCATTGCTGAAGAATCATGCTCTAGGATGTATCCAGGTTCAAGCAAAGCCGATGAAGATTGAAAGGATCCTGATACTTGTGAGAGTTAAAATTATTAGATACAATGGCAATAAAGTGTATAACAAAAAAAAAAATGGTTAAAATTCTAACCATTTTTGGAAGCTTTCTGAGGATATGGATGAGCAGATTTTCTTTTTGGTCTGGGTGGCGGAAGATGTTCACTTGTCCCACTCTTCTGAACTTTTAGAAAGTATTTCTGTGCATGGCTACGAATCTACAAAGACAGCAGCTATCATTTTTCAGTCCTTCTTAAGGGTATTGAGGTATCCATTTAAAGTAATTAGAAATCCCAACAACTCATAACTTTCATATACATTCAAATCTATCAATCCATCTAAGCTTCAAAAACTGAATGAATGAACATTTAAAATTTTCAAACATATTTCCCAAGAAAATTATTTCTACCTGTTAACAACAATAAAGATTTTCTGTTTGTGACGTTAGTCAAATGATGGTATCCCATTTAAGGAATTTGCATTATTCTTGTTAGACAATAAAACCATTCTGAACCCTACACCTAACAGATTAAGCTTTTAGGATAGGTGATTCTTTAACATGGCATAAAAGCTTATATTACCAAGTATTCACAAGCTTGATCCTTGTCATTCCCATTATTCTAAGCTAAATTGAATTTAAGCACGAGGCATGATGGGACTGTGCTCTGTCCACAAGTTTCTATACTTCAAAGTTTCAGCACAGTTTGATCCTTGTATATAATGCAAATGGATCTCAGATAATAGCTCAAATGAATATGAAATTGATGTTACTGGAACTTCCCTCAAATGAACAACAGCAGGTTGGTATGGTTATTAGGTTTCACTCCTTCCACCTATGGAGGCAGGGAGAGAAAGGAAAATATCATTTTTTTGGCATTTCATTTCCAATATCCTATATTTCCTTTTGTAAGTGCTGAAATCCATAATGTAATATAACCAATTAACCACGTTCCAAAAACAATAAGAAAACTAATTCAATCCAGAACATTTAAGGCTAACGCAACCCAGACAGAACAGCTTTAGAAAATTTACAGTTATGAATTGCATTTGAAATTACCTGGATAACTGTCTTTGATCCAACAAATGCTTCAATCTTTTTCCAGTCACGGTCAAACCTGGATACAGAATGAAAGGAACAAAATGACATGAGATGATGTAAAATGGTATCACCAAGACCATAAAAGTAAAAACAAACAATCAGCTTAAATTTGAAATAGTAAATTTCATTTAGGGATAGGTAATTAAGTTTAATCTTTAAATGAAGCTCTCCAACATAAAGATGCCATCACTACAACACATTCTTGAGTTGTTATCAAAATTCAAAATTTAAACAATACTTTTCAGGTGTATTTGGTCAGAGAGGAATGACTGTATTTTCAAGCGTTTCACTTTGCCTATAAATTTGTTATTGGATAGGTTGGTGTTTATGTCTACTATCTGGTTATTTCTAGGGAAATTTATTATTGAAGCACAAAGAGATCAGCCAGATCAGTTGCATTTTCCCTGCAACTGCTCACTGTTTTCTTCTCATCTTTTTTTTTTTTTTTTTTTCTATTTAGGAGGATTTCTTAACTCCCCCAAGATGTAATTTCTATCTTTATCTCTTTTTTAACAAAATTTCCTTCTTGTATAACAAAAAAAACAATGTAATAATTCTCTTGATATAACCGCATATACTATACGAGACATCTACAGTAACCTGGGCTTAGGTCTTTCTGCAATATTTTAAATAAATAATATATTTACCATGCTATTACAATCCCAAGAGCTTAATCCAATTATACATATCTTCCTTGTAATTTTAAATTTTCCCTTCTAGCTTAATTTTTTTATTTCACTCAAATTAATTATGCGTATATTCTTTATAATTTTATATTAATCTCTTAAATATTTTTTCCTCTTGTAATTTATATTTTGTGTATTTTAGCTAAATTTAAAAATATCAGCGTATTGCAAAGGATACTCGTTAAATGATATATCAAAATTGAACTCTTTCACAATGGCTTGTACGCGAGACATGCAACAAAAACTTCAGTGCAACCGATGCATTGATTTATTGGATACATAGACGGATCTTGAGATTTTAAAAATTTGTACAAAGTCTGTCTACGTATCTTATAATAAATGAGCTACCTATACATTGCACCGAAGATTTTTCAGTTTAAGTGGAAAGTGAGATTTTGATACCACGAAGAAATCAATATGTCAATTTCAGCTTCTAATGAAAATATTTTAAAGAGAATAAGAAACTGCATAATTTATTTCGGATTCTATATCTTACAAGGTCTCTCATACAATACAGAAAAATCAAAAATCAGCTATAGGATCCATCATTAATGAAAATTGAAAATTGATATATGCCAAGTCATAACCAAATAATAATAATAATAATAAAATTCTACCCAGGCTTATCAAACACATCATTATTCCTCCCTCACCAAACCCATCTGAAATAACAATAAAAAATTAGACCCTGACGACATATGCATACCTGAAACCATGACCGAACAAACACACATATGCATACCACTAAAACTCGTGTCTCAATTGAACTTCAACATTCACACGCTGCATTCAGAGAAAAAAATAAATAAATAAATAAATAAAGAAAAGGAGGCTTTACAGTTGAAGAGCTTCAAGGAATTTGTCATGCTCGGGTTCGGTCCAGCTCTCCCTAGACTTGGTGATAGTGTATGGTTTACGGGTCTTCTTGGCGGAGTCCTCCACCGAATCGGAGGTGGAGGCGGCGGAGGAAAAGGGGACGAGGCCAGGCAGCGTCATGTCATTAGGATCCAAGTAGAAAGCTTCTGAGGGGTTCGGGTTTTTGGATACCATTTTTGTTAGTTTAAGCTTAAGCTTCCTCTCGAGAGAGAGAGAAAGAACAGAAATGCTGATGTTCCAGCTGAACCACAAGTATTTATAGGAGGTTGTTCAAGGTTGTTCTCAGTGCAGTGCGCTTCTAGGTTGGTACTTGGTACAGTACAACCGCCAATAGTTGTTGGCCACGAGAACACAACTATTTCGGAATTTTTAAGGTTAGCGTTCTAATTAAGCATGAGATTCTTCTTAAAACATTTGTAATGTCCCTGTCCTTACGATTTTCTATAGAAGGAAGGAGGCACAGGATTATCCCAAAAGTGATTAAACTTTTGCTTCAAAAGAATTTGTTTATTGAAAATGGTACATGTAACTCACTCTACACTTGTTCTTATCATGGGGATTGGGTTACCTCGTGGCTTTGTCTCGGTCTAATTAATGACAAACAAAAAATAATTTTTTTTTGTAAACAACAAAAAATATAATTTATTTATGGGTTATGTTTATTTCATTTTATGTGAGATAAATAACTTTTTTACACATACAAAAAAGAATTGAGTTCCACCACTCTTTTTTTTTTCTCTTTTTACTTGTGAATCTCATTTATAATTTTGTTTTTATAACATAAAATAACTACTTGTTTACAACCTAAGTAGTTATTTTTAAGTCAGAAAATTATTTGCTTTTGCACTGCTAGTCCATTCATATAGGTTTCTAGACAGAAAATTATCGGGTGTTGAATATTAACCATTTTATTTTTAAGTCAATATAATATTGTCAATTTATACTCCGTCGTTTTTAATGCGTTTTGCACAAAATATCGAAAAGCACATTTGGGGCATTAATTTATAAATTCGATATTTGTCCGTTTAAAATAAATGTAGTTCTGTTATTTTAAGAGGAAAAAAGGCATAGGCAATAAAAATTATGAGAGATAAATATTTTTTAATTTAAATTTTAAATAATAATAAAATATTAATTTATATCTTTTTCTCTTATAAAATAATAGGGAAAAGTATCTATGCTTTTGAAGGATGTAACACTACATCATTTTAAATAAAACGCAGCGTTTCGTTTGAAAAATCAGTTCATTTCTTTGTTCCAAATCTATTGTCCCTTTTCATCTCTCTGCAACCAAGCGGTATTCTTTTCCCTCACTCAAACTTGCTTTTCCCTCATTCACTTTTCCATTCTCATAGTTGGTTTTTCTTCCCTTTCATCACCAGCCATCTTATATGAAGGAATCCGATGCGAGAACCTATATAACTCATTAGGTGGAACACAAAATAAGCGAACTCCATTCTGCACATTTTGCAGAAAGAGACTAACAAACCCTTTCACTTTGCCAACATAAGCAACTTTAATGCCAACATCTTCATCAAAATCAGATAGGACTTCCACATATTCAAATTGATACTCTGAATGATTTTCTGGATTAGAACTCCATTATTTCTATTTCATGACACTTGACAAACTTTTTTTTTGTTTTTTGGACTTTGATTCATGTTATGCGTATATCTGATTGTGCTTACTTCCCAAATTTATTTTTTCTCTTCTTCTTTTTTCCCCATTTTTAGAGCTGTGAAAATACTTGATGGAGGATAAGTCGAGGTGTCTGAATTTTTACAGATTTGATTTTTGTCCCTTTATTTGAATTAGCATCATATAATATACGTTTTTATATAGATTATAAGTCTCCATTATTAAAAACAGATTCCATGTCTCTTTGTTCTGAGAAATTGCACCTCAAATATAAAATTGATGGTCATTCTATATTGAACTTGATATCAGATTATTTTTGGTAGATTTGAAGTTATAGTGTGGTACGATGATAATGATTACAAGAGTCAAATTGATCTTCTCACAAAACGTGGACAATAGGTTTTGCTTCTCCTATCAACCATCCCTAATCCCCCTTTCCGCTTAAATGTGAAGAGTGTGTATCATTATTGAAGCATCACTCCTTTAAACCATTTCATTAGAATTACCAGAGTTATATACTATCAGCAAAAATACTATTTGCTCGAGTTTGATTACCTCCTTTATATTGCTTTGGTTTATTTTAGTACAATTATTGTCTTGGGGACATTTTCTTTTGACTTATATACTATTGGTTCCTACACCATGGCTCCATAATCGATTGAGTTCCAGCAACTATTGGTTCCTCAACAAAGGATATTTTCATGGTTGATAGGATCAATGTACTACTTTACAAAAAAAATCCCCTGAAAAATCTTCTACAAAATGGGGATCACTATTAATTTATAGGATCAATGTATTAATTTATAGACAAAAGTGATCCTACAAAAAATATCCCATCCAAAAATCTTATACAAAATGGGGATCACTATTAATTTATAGGATCACTACTAATTTATAGACAAAACTACATTACAAAAAATATCCCATCCAAAAATCTTCTACAAAAAATGTCACCAACCTGACAAATAGTTATCTTTGTACCTGAAAAATCACAATAAGTAAAAATATAAGCAGCTTTGAACTCATAATTTGAAATTAGAATATCTAAAAACTGTTCGTAATAAATTGGTGCTTACCAAAATACAATAGCTAATATATGTGCAATAAAACTACTCCTTTTGCTTCTCTCTTGCAATATCCATCTACAAATGAATTAGAATAAACTCATTATCAAGTTTAAGATTGAAAACACATCTATAAAGAAATACCTTGCGCTTCTCACAACTGGTTTTATTGTGACCCTTTCCTCCACAATAACTACAAGTCTTATGTTGTTTTGAAATCAACTCAATGCTTGATTTCAATCGTGAAGCAACCTTTGGACGCCCTTTAGTTTTGACTGGATGCATGGGATCACGCACATAGTTAATGAGTGAAACTTGTGAAAGAATTTCGGGAGTTAGTGAAGGAACAACTTGGGGAATTGCTTCATCTTCAATTATATTTCTCTTTCTTTCCAGTTGCTGTCTAATAAAGTCAGCAAGAAAATCATCAAACTTTCTAATTTCAGACATACAATCTCTTGCTTCGGAAATAGCCATATTGCACTTGGAGTGAAGCGACCACAAGAACAATGCACTAACTTCCTTAGTGGGTGTATCAGCATGATCACCTACAAGATTTTCAACCTTATAGCTTGCATTCATGGTCCATCTAGACAAAATATATTTTTCAGGAAGGGTTTTTAATTTTTTCCTCCTCATAATATATAGAATATGTTTGCACAAAATTCCCATAGTCTGAAATTTTCCACAAGAACAATCAGCTGTGAAGGTTTCTGTCAAATGATAGTCAACAATTGCCCACCACTCTTTATCAACTTCGTGAGACCCCACCTTGTACCTAAAAGAAAAGGAGATCAAAGAAAACCATTTGAAATCTTTTGCATCAATTTAACATATACTCCTAATTGTACCTGATTAGATCTTCATTCATTAAAATCTTTTCATGCTCATAATGAAGAACAGCTTCCATCCACTCCTTTTTAAATATATTAAATATTTTTCTTGTGTAACGCTCACCAGCTATTGCTTCAATTTGATGAGTAGTCTCCAAAATTGCTTTTGTATTTCTAGTTTTAAAATCTTCATCTTCTTCAGCATCCCTCCTACTCTTAATTGCTTTGTCATATTGAGTAACAAAGTCATTTAACATTGTGTTGGAGTTGACGTATCCATCAAAAAAAGCATTGATGCTCTCACTTCGGCCACTTGTGGTCATTCCAGCCCAAAAAGTATCTTTCAAATATACCTTTGCCCAATGATGACGTGAAACATACATGTTAGCCAACCAAGTTCCTTCTTTAATATCATATTTAGTCTTCAATGATTCCCAGCTGCCTTCAAACTCATCAATGCTTCGACTTTTATACCATGCACGAAAGTCAACATCAAAACTCTCCTTAAATTGTGAGCGTAGTGCTTGAGTGTGTTCCATAACATGTTTTTTCATGTGCCACGCACAAAAACGATGTCGTGCTTTTGGAAATATTTTGGCAATTGCTTTTCCAATAGCTTTGTCTTGATCAGTGATAATAGCAATAGGAGACTTATCAAACATACATTCCAGAAATTGTTCAAACAACCATGTAAATGTTGCCTCTGTTTCATCTTCTAACAAAGCGGCTGCAAATAAAATTGATTGCCCATGGTGATTAACCCCAACGAAAGGGGCAAAGGGAAACTTGAACTTATTTGTTTGGTAAGTCACATCAAACACAAGAACATCACCAAATTGAACATATGCTGCTCTTGACCTACCATCCGCCCAGAATACGCTTCTTAATGTTCCATCTTCGGCTAAATGCATATCAAAATAAAAAGATCCAATATATTTGCTGTGTTCTTGCACTCTTGTTAAAAAATTGCTTACGTATTCCAAACCCCTTACCTTTTGCATGATCATTATAAAAAACATAAGCTTCTTCTGATGTCCCAAAGACCCTACATAAAAAACTAGTCTCACTAAATTCATTGATATCATCTCCCACAATTTCAAGTACAACATTTTGCACATGATCACCATCTTCATCTTCCATAATTTCACACTCATCATCATCAACAAACTCATCAGTGTCTTTCTCCAA